AGTGGCAGAGCATCTCTGCTGTGTTGAAATGACACATTTAGAAAAATGTCAGACGATGGAGTTGTCACCACTTCAGCCTCCGAGGACCGTGGCTCACCTGCCCCCCCGTGAGCACTCTTTATCCTCGCTGAAGCCCCCACAGGTCAGCCCCCACTGGGCTTCCTGCACCCCATCTTTGCAGGGGTGCGTCATGTCCCCCCCCCGCCCCAGCACCCCCTCGTGGAAGGAGAAGCCCAGAAGCTTTGTGTTTTTACATTGATGCTTCCCTTGCCGTAACCTTGCTCTGTAAGCCAGCCTGCTTTCAAAGTTGTGTTTTCCTAATAATGTCAAAAGGAAAAAAAAAAAAGCCGCCTAAAAGCCTTTTTTTTTTTTGGAAAGAGCCTGGGTATAAATAAATAAATAAATGAAACCCATACAAAGAGAAAGATGAAAAAATATATATCAAAGACGGAACCTTTGCATTTGGCTCCGGGTATAAATGGCCGGCTCTTTATTAGATGCTTTTAAGTGGCGAGGGCTTAGTTTCTGATTCTCTTTCCTCCTTTTTATGCGCTTTTAATTCCAATCAGGAGAGGTGGTTTTTTTAAAACCTTGCCCAGTCTTTGGGTGGAGTGAAGGAAAGAGAGTGGGCTTCGGAAACACATGTATTCATCCATTCAACAGATGCCGAAAGCTAGCATTTATTGAGCGCTTCCTGCATGCCAGCGATTGTTCTGAGGGCTCATCCCATTTAATCTTTGTAACTTCTCTTTGAGGTGTAGCAGGCCTCATTCACAGATGGAGACTGAGGCACAGAGCAGTTAAGTAGCGTGCCCGGGATCACCCAGCTTCCCGGTGGCCCAGCTGGGATCCGAAACCAGCAGACTGGCTCCAGGGTTCTAAGCCCTTCATGGTGCTGTTCCTCAAATATGAAGACCTACTATGTGCAGGAGCTCAGTACTGGAGTGGACAGATGGTCCAGAAAAGAGATGGTTACAAGGCTGTGTGATGTGAACTGGGCAGAGGGGAGCCTGGGATGGGAGGGGAGCACCCAGGAGGGCTTCCTGGAGGAGGTGGCCAGTAAGCTGAGGCTTGAAGGTGGGTAGGATTTAGCTGGGCACAGCGAGGTGCAAGATCAGGTAGAATGGGGTTCAGTCCGGACTCGGGGGCTTACTGGAGGTGTACGTCAGGTGCCTTCACCTCTAACAGAGGCTGGCTCAGCAGGACACAGCCGCTCTCTCACAGACTTGCTAGGAGATGAGATGAGTGGACAGCGCGAAAGGTGCCCGGCACATAGTAGGTCCTCAGGAAACATTAGTGGCCCTCTCCCCCTCCCACTGACAGGCAGGAACATGCTGGACATTTACGGCAACCTAAGGTTGCAAACTGGTGGCCCCCGGCTGGCCCATAGAATTTGAATTATTTGCTCACATTTATAAGTTTGGAGATTCCACACTAAACCCCGTATTTCCAGCTTTTTTTTTGAAAGCTCGTAAGATCCTGTGACTGCAGTGTGCACGTTTCCCTCTGCTCCCTGGGCTGAGCGAGGAGTAGCTGTCCCCAGAGGGGCACTCGTGCTAGCAAACGCTCTCCCTCGGCTTTCCTCCGACCTGGCCTCCATCCTCTCTCCCTCACCCTCCCGGCATCCCCCAGCCCCATGTCCTCTGTGTGGCCCACGGCCTGGGGTGTCACTGCTGCGAGGTGAACTTTGGTGCAGTGGGAGCATGATGGCATCCATTCCCTCGTGGTTGTCTGTCAGGTTTAGTGTGCACAAGGGCATTCATCTCAAAGCAATGGCAGGCATTTAGGAAAGCAATTAATCCTGGCCTCGTGACCAAGCCCCAGTGCCTTTGAACGCCCCCACCCATAGTGTGCACCAGATGCCAGCCGATCTTTCTCCATGACTCTAGACAGCTGGCATTTCGTGTCTTTGAAATGTTTGACTTTCTGGCAAATGGACCAGTACTTTGAAAACCAGAACATTCCTGGGATTAATGGAAAGCCACTAAGCTGGCAGAGTGAGGTGCTGGGGGAAAAGGCGTGGTTCAAGGGGCGCCCCTCCTTCCAAATGGCAGGCTGACCCTCGGAAGATGATGGTAAGATTGAGACCCAGCGCTCCTCAGCAAAGTGCCCCTTAGAGAACCCAGGCCGTGAAAAATCGCAGAGTCCCGAGAAGGCATCTGTCGAACCCTCCCGTGGTTCAGCATCCATGTGCTGCCACGTTGGGCTTCTGGAATCCTGGCTCTGATCTGTCACCCATATGCTTTGCGCAGAGTCCCAAAGTCCCTTTTCCAGATTCTTGCTGTCTTTCAAGGCTGTGTTCAATTGCTGCCTCCTCCAGGAAGCCTTCCTGGGAAGCAGGTACTGCTGCCACTCTCCCGCAACCTTACAGACGGGAAACTGAGGCTTAGCAAGGTGAGGGGACTTGCTTGAGGCCACATGCCAATCTCACGTGGCAAAGTGAGATTCGAACCTGGGGCTCTGTGGCCACAGACCCGGGCGTAACTGCTGGCCCTGCCCTGTTTTCCTCAGGGCTCTGTGCATAACAAGCCCCTCTGGAATGCGCTGTTGAACCAGAGCCTTGAGAGCATTTCTCGTTTGTTAAGATCGCCAAATCCTGGGCCCTGTTTAGTGTTATCTTTGATGTTCAAGGGCGGTGTGGAAATTTCTGTTTTCACGTGACCCAATTTCTGTGCTTTGAAAATGCTGTTCCCTCTCTCCTCCCCCCTCCCTCTGTTTTCGAGATCAGGCAGCAGGGCCGCCTTGAGCCTCCGTCAGTTGCCCTGGCACATGTCCCGTGTCCAGGTGAGTGGATGGCCCATGTGGCAGCTCTGGGGCTAATTGTTGTGACTCACCTGTGTGGCTCACCTGTGCCCTGAAGCCCACCTGGAGGACCCTCTGCTTATATGCAACCAGGGTCTTGTGTTCTTGCTCAGCTGCGAACATAACCATCGCAGAGGGCCTCGACCGGAAGGGACCGCCCTGCCTCTCTGTCCTCCTTCAGTGATGTCGGCCCAGGAGATGGGACTTGGGGGCGATGGTCTTCTGCGTATGCCCAGTTCACCAGTGCACGTGTACACCTGTTGTATACGTGAGGACTTTCGTGAAATATCCCTTTTCCTCCCTCCCTTTTCTGCCTTTGAAAGCTCTTTGCTGGTTAAAATACTCTTTGTAACTCATTATGTAGTAAAAATAATCGCTGACATTTGGTCTGTGTTTGCTCAACTGGTCCGGGTGGGGATCTTTGGAATGTTTTTAGGGGAGCAGGGCGGAGGGGGTCTCGGAAATCTACATGTTAATCACTTACTTCCGAAGGTATTTAACGTTTGTCTGCTTCTTGCGTGGAGTGAAGCTCAGGATTTGGGGGATAAGAGGATGGCTGTGCGTGGAGTCTGCTCTCAGGATGCTCCCGTGGGGTGGGATTAAGACGAAGTGCGTGCCTCCAGCGGCAGGGCTGACTTCCAGACTGGAATGTTGTTGGGAGACGGTCCACTTTTTCTTTTCTTTTCTTTTTAATTCTGGTAAAATATACGTAACATAAAATTTACCATTTTAACCCTTTTTAGGTGTACAGTTCAGTGCTATTAGCTGCATTCACAATGTTGTGCAACCATCACACCATCCACCTCCAGAACTCTTTTCATCTTGCAAAACTGAAAGTCTGTCTCCATTAAACACTACAGCCGAGCCCGGAGAGCCCACCGTGTGCCCAGCTTGGGGCTTGGGACCTGACGTTCATCCTTTCCTCAGTCCTTCTGGGGGCCCTGATGCTTTGAGGAAACAGACTCAGAGAGAGTAACGAGGCTTGCCTGGGGTGGAGCCACCAGCAAGGGGGGTACCACCGTGGTCTGCTGCTCCAAAGCTGTCATGCCGTCACTTTATCTATCACCTGTCACTTCAGGTGCCCGGATTTGGAGCCGTTAAAGGTTTGAGGTGACTGAAGTATTGAAAAAGGAAACAGGCGTTCACCTCTAAGAACATGTCATCGAAGAGGAGAAGCCTGGGCAAGGCCTGGCACTTGTCACTGAGACCATGATGGAGAGAACTGGCTTTGTGGCCTCTGATCGGAGACCATTGCCCAGTGGTTCTCAGCCAGGGCTGTAAAATGTGGCAGGTGCCCAGGCCCCACCCTGCACTGATCTAATCACATCTTGGGGCTGGAGTCTGGAATCTGGCGAGCAGCTGGGTCTGGCCAGTGGGAGAAACACGGTGTTAAAAGTCGAGGGTGTTAGTCCCTGGGGTCTTGGTGATGTTCCCTGGCAGATGTGACTCCAGGCATTTTCCTGGAGGGTCTCTCTAGTGCAGGGAGTGAGGGATCCTTTCTGCCACCATGGGGTCTATGCTGCCCCTCTAGTCATGTAGCCCCTTGGACCCTGAGACCATTCAGTACTCCCTGCAGCCAACACGCGCGCAACTGGTGCTCTCTGGAGAGGAGGTCGTGGTGCCTCCAACTCGAAGCCTCTGGACCCGGTTTTTTAGATTCTGTTGCGTGTTCTAGTGGTCCCGACCCTGGCATTACCTCCCATCAGACCATCAGGATTCGTCCCCATGAACGAGGCCGTTGACAATAGCACGGCTGTTAAATTCTGGACTCGCCTATGCGTGTGCGGGAAGGGGCCTTCACACTCGGAGTCCAGCATAGGACACAGCTGTCCAGGGAGAGGAGGGGAGGGACCTCGCCTTTTTATCCAAACTTTGTCCGTCTCAGCAGCCTTGGGCAGATCTGGAAGCATCCAGAAGCTTCCGTGTCTTAGTCATGTATTCCAAAGAGCAGTTAAAACAGACTGGCAGGGCTTGGTGGGATTGGGGAAATATTTGGCGAGGGGGAAGAATTGCAGAATGTATTCTTGGTTCAGAGCCTTTTTCCTCGGACTCTCTCTGGGCATCCCGCCATTTAGGAGTGTTTGTTAAATCTTAAAAAACAAGAGATTTTGCTCTGTTTCCACTGCCAACATGTGAGACCATGGTATTTCATTTATACTAACCCTTTGTTTTCCTCTCTCTTTCTGCTCGACAGTGAGTGACCTGCAGGAAGAAGGCAAAAAAGCCATCAACTCTCCGATGTCCCCTGCCTTGGTGGATATTCGCCCTGAAGACACCCAGCTAGGTACCGTCGGTTCCGCCAGCTCCCTGTCGTGAGATAGTTGAGCTTCCACGGTGTGCAGCTGGTGTTGGTGAGGCCGCAGAGGAGCCTGTTAGTTCTGGCCTCTGGATCAGACATCACACCAGGCCACATGTGAGAGTCTAGGCTCTTAGCTCAAGGTCATGTTTAGAAAAGTCTGTAGGAAAATGCCAGTAGATTTTTGCCTCTCTGATTTGAAATGTAAGTTTTATTATTATTTATGCATCGGTGAGGCCAGCAGATATGGAGATGACTGCCACTGAAGATATAGTGTGTTTTACTCATGGTTCCTAAATGAGGGGGACGCTGTGCCAGGGAGGGCCACACGGGGGGCACCAGGATCAGGCAGGAGACAGGAGGGAGGGAAAGACATGGGAAAAAGCCTTTATTATGGTTTTCATGGCGAGGAATGGGTGAGGCCGGGTGAGTAGGCTTAGGATAGCCTGATTGGAATGATTTCAGTGGGCTTGTGGGGGTAGGGGCTGTCCTGAGTTGTCTGTACCTGGTCCCGGGGTGAGTAGGGCAGAGGTATTGGCCGGCAGTGTGAGAGCCCCGTGAGAGCCCAGGAAAAGAGGGCCTGGGGGTGTGGGCTCTGGGTTGGCTGGTTTGCACATGAAAGGTACTCTCAGGGGAGTTGTTTGCTAAATTGAGAATTAGCTAACTCTGGGAGGGGCAATCTCTCTAAGTCCACAAGGCTCCAGGATGTCAAAGCATCAGAAAATATGGAAAATGAGAAACATGGTTAATATACCCCCCTCTCTGTGCAAGCTGGAGCTGCCCCAAGGCCTGGGGCTTGCGAGGGGGGACCTGCCAAGTGTCCAAGGCCCCTGCACCCATTTCTCGGGACCATGTCACAGCCCAGCACTAATGAGGTGACGGCTGGGACATGTTTTCTTTAAAGCATGTTTTGGGATCCAATCAATCTGGAAGGCAGTCGTGGAACATTCCACGTATTTCCAAACCCTGGCTCAAAGGGAAGTCCTGTTGATTTCTCTTTTGTGGTTTCCACCCCAAGGCCAGGCCAGCAAGAGCTTGCGGATAAGAAATGCAAACCCAGGTTCAGCCCGCCGGCCTGCAGCCAAGTGCTGGGCGAGCTCCTGAGGTCCCACTGGGGTCCGCTGTGGGTCCTCCACATCCTGGAGGAGCGTAGCTCTTCAGGGTGCCATTGTGGATGGTCTCCAGTCTGGCTGAAGTTGCCGTCCAGGAGGCTGCTCCTGGGGCCTCTCTCCGAGGGGAAATTGGGGACCAGCCTGTGGGTGTGAGAGTTAGCACGATTTAGAACAAGGTCTCTCCCCCTCGGCACTGTGGGTGGTGGGCACTGGATAATTCTTTATCCTGGGGGCTGTCCTGTGTGTTGTGGGGTTTGATCAGCGTCCCTGGCGTCTACCCACTGGATGCCAGGAGCATTCCCCCCGCTAGGGGGGACAACCAAAATGTCTCCAGACACTCCTGCATGTCCCCAGTGGTGGGGGGACACAGTCGCTCCTGCTTGAGAAACCTGCTTTACATCAGCAGGAGTGCTAGAAAATAGATTTATCTTGAATGCGTGGCAGGCTGTTGTTTTGTCAGTAATGCCTTGAACCTGCCTCTCCCTGGGCCCTGACCCTTCTCGTCTCACCATCTCTGCGAATAGCTGCTCTTGGGCCTGGGAGCGGGTGTTCTTGAGCTTGCTCCGTACGGTTCTGCTGGCCCCTGAAGCTCACGTGACCTTGATGAGGACCTGGAGCTGAGATCTGAAGGGTGAAGGGGATGTGAAGTGGGGGGGGGTGTTGAACGGGGAGCAGCATATGCCAAGGCCCTGGGGCAGTGGTGCTGAGGCTTACTGAGGAGCAAAGGAAGGCCGGAAGGGCTGGAGTGGAGCCTGCGTGGGAGAGCTGGGGAGACAAGGCTGCAGAGGGCCTCGGAGGCCACGTGGAGGTGCTGGCCTTGATCCCAGGAGTAGTGGGAGGCTGCTGAGGGCCTTAGCAGGGACGTCACAAGGGACCCCTGTGTGATCCCCTCCATGTTACCCAGAGCATCCCTCTGAAGCGTCAGATCTGCACAACTCCAAAAATAGTTTTTCCACTTTGTCAGGTTTTAAAATTTGCTGCTGTGAAGCCACTGCCACTCAAAGCCATTTCATTTCCACCGATGCAGACAGGGTCCCCAGCTCCATGGAAGCCTGTCTGGGCCCCCGCCTCCGGCTCATCTCCACCTGCGTGTCCTGTGGGCCCTGGCCCTGCCTGGAGCCCCCGTTCTCTCTTATTTCCTTTAATTTCCGGGGGCAGTCTTGTTCTTCATCGTGTCTGTGGGTCTTTCCCTCTGCAGTCCCACTTCTTCGTTATCACCGTGTTACTCCTTCTGTAACACACTCGCTGGTCCCTGTTGTCCATGGATCAAGGCCAGAACGTGGAGGGAAAAACAGACAGATAAATAAACAGAAACAGAATATGGATGAACACAGTTGGCTGCGAAACATCTTTGTTTTGATTTGCCATTTCTCTGTACTCTTTTTTGCTGTACTGTCTTACGTGGCGGCGAGCTCTCTCCGTGAGCGACAACTCTTCCCCGTGGTTAGTAGTGGCTGTGGGAGCTCTTCCCACGGATCCGACTCCTGCCTGTGTGCGTGCCCTCCTCCCGTGGTTTCTCCTGAAAAGATGGGAGTGGTTGCGGTGGCGTTGATGAGGGCCGAGGCCCGGCAGGCTGAGGGAGCATGACCGCATCCCTTTCAGGAAGAGGCAAGGCGTGAGGACGCCCCATCCGCCTTCCGGAAGGCCGTTCCCCGCAGGCGGCCGCCCGCCCTGGGCTGTGTGATGCGCGGCCGACGCAGGGCCATTTGGCTCGTCCTCACTGAGAAAATGATGGGGTTCTCTGCTCTCAGTCCATGTCACCCCGATTTGTGCGAGGGGCGTCGGCCGCCCCCTGCATCCCTGCCACTCCCGCTAATGCTGACTCTGCCTCTCCTTTGTCCCGGCAGAGGAGAACGAGGAGCGCACGATGATCGACCCCACCTCCAAGGATGACCCCAAATTCAAGGAGCTGGTCAAGGTAAGGAGGGGTGTCTGGGTTAGAAGGATCCTGTTAGGGCAAATATTTTGGGGTTCAGGCTCTCGTGGGCAACAGGAGCAAATCCTGGGGGCTGGTGAAAGGGCCCTAATGCTGTGTTGGGCAGAGGGATGTGTGGGTAGAGGAGGCTGAGCAGAGCTGTAGAGGGCGGGGGTCAGGCTCGCAGCGTGGGGCACCTGCCAGGTGCCCGGCTCTGAGACCGCTCCTTGCACGCTGCTGGGCAGACTGCGGAGGCCGTTTGTAAGATTTGGAAGGAGCAGCTGGAGTGGACTCACACAGCACATCAGTGGGTTCAGACTCTTTCCGGAGCATGATGGGGGGATTCACAGGTGGCTCTGAAGAGTGGACACGTGTGACCCCTCTGGCCACTCCTGCTGAGGAACCGTCCGAGACCGGCACCCCTGCACTGGGCGGACGGTCCGTTTCTGCCCCGTCGGGAAGTGCGGACACCGGCTAGACCAGAAGATGTTACTTTGTTCCCAAAAGTCAAGGAGGCAGTGACGGGGAGGGCTGGTGGCTCTGTGGCTTCTTCGCCGCGGCAGTGGCAGCTTCTCTCTCCCCGGCTGGTTTCTCGAGCTCCGGCTCGGCCGTGAGGCTCTATTTGTGGTGTTTGTCCGTGTCTAAGCGAGGATTACAGTTTTGATCGCCCTGATCTGAACCACAATAGGGCATCAGAAGGTAATCCCCCAGCGAGCAAGGCTCCGGGCTCTGCCAGCGTCCTCACCCTGTCAGAGCCAACGCCAGCTCCCAAGTGGCAGCCGGGGAGGTGTTTTGCTTCCGCAGCCCAGCAACTCTGGTGACCCCGGGGCTTTGAAAACGCTGTTGATGGCAGTGAGTGCCGCAAACAGATGTATTCTATTAAAAGTGCTTTTTACAAGTTTCTCCACCTTAACCACCGCTGTTGGACCTGACGTGGTGCCCAGTGGTGTTTACGCAAGGGCTGACTCACGATAAATAAAACCTTTGCAAGTTGTATCCTTTTCAAAACTGAAATTGAAAATGTCAGTTTTAGGGCCCACCCAAAGATGTTGATCTTAACGATGTAAATTACCTAGTTTATTTTATTAAGATTTTTTTTTTCCTGAATACCACTTTGTTATTCTGAACAGAAGAATGTGGGTAAGGAAGGTGACCCTGCTTTCAGCCTCCAAAATGGTGTTCAGGGGCACATTGAAGTGGCAGAAGGAGGATGCGCTGTATCCGTCAGGGTCCTCCAGGGAAACAGAACCGAGAGGGTGTGATCAATCGATCTATCTATAGAGACTGTTATAAGGAATTGGCTCTCGTGATTGTAGAGGCTGAGAAGTCCCAAGATCTGCCACTTGCAAGCTGGAGACCCAGGAGAGCTGGTGGTGCACACGCTCACAAGTCTGACAGCCGAGGACATGGGGCCGTGTCCCAGCTCAGCAGTCAGGCAGGGAGAGGGCGAGTCCAGCCTTCCGCCACCTTTTTGTTGTATTCAAGCCCTCAATGGATCGTATGATGCCCACCCACCTTGGCGAGGTCCCTGCTTTACGCAGCCCATCAGTTCAAATGCTGATCTTTTCCGGAACACCCTCACAGATACACCCAGAAAGAACGCTTAGTCAGATATCTGGGTATCCCACGGCCTGGTCAAGCTGACACTTAAAATTAAACATCACCCGCCCCGTTCTGATGTTTTCTTCTTCCACATTTGAGCAGTGCCTGAGTTCACAGGCATCGTCTCCTTGAGACAACCCCAGGGAGCTGATGTCATCCTCACTTTCACATGGGGACTCAGCAAGGAGAAGTAACTCCACCCCCAGGTTACACTGTGAATCAGTGGAGTGGCCGGTCCTGAATGAGTTGGCCGACAGCTCAGCTCATTGGCTGAGCCCCGGTTGAGCGCTGGGTACCTCCCCGGGCTCTGAGGCTGGCGAGATGGACAGGGCACCTCCCTCCTGCACGGGGTCTGCTCCTCCCGGATTCACTTGGCCCCACCCACCTCTGCTTTGCCACTTTGCCTCCTAAGACGGCAGGCTGTTTCTGCCTCCAGGGGCTGAGGGCTGGTCGGCTGCACGTCCTTCATCAGCCCACACAGAGGGGACCCCAGCATCTCCGCATGCAGGGCCAGCCTGACGGGACCCCTGGAGGCTCTGGCTCCTCCACCTCTTCCAGATTCCGGATTCAGACGGAGGGCCATGCGGGGCACGAGGTGTGCTGACTGGAGGGGCTGGAATTCCTAAGAAATTAACGCCCTGTGGGACAAAACAGGTCTAATGACCGGGAGGAGGCTGCGAGTGAATGCCTCTCCCTCGCTTCCCCAATGAGCAAGTGGCAGAGCCCGGGCTGGGTTTTCTTCCGAAGCTGCAGTCAGCTCAGGGACGCACCTGCCTCGCTTCCCTCTCCCCTCGCTCTTGCTGGTCTGCGGTACCCCCAAAAGCAGCAGCCGTGAGCAGAGCAGCCTCTCTTTCCTGGGGAACCCAGGTGTGCCGGGCTGAATCATGGCTGCCAAAGATGTCCACGTCCTAAGCCCTGGAACCTGTGAATGTCACCTCCTTATATGGCAAAAAGGACTTTGCAGATGTCATTAAGTTAGGGATCTTGGGAGGGGAGATGATCCTGGATTAGCCGGTGGGCCCACTGTCATCACAAGTGTCCTTACAAGAGAGAGGCAGAGGGAGATTTGACCGTAGGCAAAGATGGCAATGTGACGATGGAAGCAGCATGGCTTTGAAGATGGAGCAAGGGGCTGCGTGCCAAGGAACGTGGGCGCCTCTAGAAGCCGGAAAAGGCAAGGAAACAGATTCTCCCCTAGAGCCTCCAGAAGGAACCAGCCCTCCAACGCCTTGACATTAGCCCAGGGAAACTGATTTTGGACTTCTGACCTCTAGCCCAGGGAAACTGATTTTGGACTTCTGACCTCCAGGACCGTTAAGAGGATACGCTGGTGCTGTTGGAAGCCACCAAATTTATGGCAGTTTGTTACAGCCGGCATAGGAAACTAATACACCAGGCTGTGTGGCCTCCCTTCCCCCAACTGCTGCCTCCCTGGCTGCAGCTGACCGGTCCCCTGTCCACTGGGGTCGGGCAGGGCGGGCTTTGCTCCCTTGCCAGTGTCCTGGAAGGGCCAGCTGCCGGACACTTGCACGTCTGCTCCCGTGGTCAGGAGCGCATATGCCTGGAAATGGGCGATTTCTGGAAGGTTCTGCCTGTTGTCAGACTGCAGGTCGCGTCTCAAGGCAAGCTGGTGGCATATTTTTCACTTTATCGAGTATTTTCCAAAATAAGCATAAATACAGCAAACAGGAGAGCAGCATCGGGTTGGCTGTCTGTGGCTTGTTAGTTGCCGTAGTGGCAGCGTGGAGGAGATGTATGTAAAATATTAGTTCTCGCCAATTATAGGCTTTTTAAACAGAGACGCCTGTGGGTGGTGTGGGAGGCGCCTGTGCTGAGCCTCGGCTGTCCTCGGTCTGTTCTTGTTTGCCAGGCATGTGGGGGGCTGTGTGTGAGGCCTTGGTGTGCCCCTGAGTCGGGGTTCGCTCGTGTCCGCAGACGGTCAGCACCTCCTTTCCCTGGCTCAGGGAGGAGCTGGTCCCATGGCCAGAGCAGCATGCATGCAGTTAGGAGGAGTGAGCTGAGAGGGTCAGCCCGCCAGCTGCTCCCAGAGCCAGAGGCCAGCACGGTGGCCTGTCCCTCGGGTGCTGCCGAGCCGGGCACCCTCAGATGTGCTCTGAGTCGGCAGCCCTGCCCACATCACTTGCTGTCTCCCCTCCTCACTCGCTGTGCTCCAGTCCACAGGCCCCTTGCTCTTCTGGAGCAAGCTGAGCACTTGCCCACCCAAGTGTGAGGTTAGAGAGGCTGGTCCCCCAAGCCCACCCTCACTTCTGACACCAGTTGCAAGTTTGGGGTCCCCAAGATGACCTGTAGGTTTGGTAATTCACTAGAGGGGTTCCCAGAACTCACTGAAAGCTGTTAGGCTCGCAGTTATGGGTTATTACAGTGAAGGACACAGGTTGAAATCAGCCGAGGGGGGCGGGGCGCGGGGCAGGCCCAGGAGGGCCCCGAACGCCAGGCTTCCTAGTTGTCCTCTCCCCAGGGAGTTGTGGATGGTGTCACGTACTGGCAACGACGTGACGATGTGTGCAGAGCGTCGCCGGCTGGAGGAGCTCCTGAGCCTCGTGGTCCAGACTTTTTATTGGGGCGCCATCTTATAGGGGTGGCTGGCTGCGCTGGCGGCTGACCCATCTCCAGCCCTCCCGGACGTGACGCATAGAGTGTGACTCAAATCCCGCACCCCAAGCCCCGCTGGTCCTCTCTGGCTCATCCAAGGCTCCCACATAAACCAAGATGCTTTTATCCGGCAAGGTGTTCCGGGGGCTTAGAGGTCCCCTCCCAGGGTCCGAGGCACAGGCCAGACGGCTGTTTGGGCGAGGTTAGATCCTGACTGCGTCCTGGATTAGCCCCTGCAGCCCCCTGCCTGGAGCATTCTTCTCCACGTCTCGGTTTTCTGTTGATGTTTCCTCCGCAGAGACACGTTCTCTGGCCCCTTCCCCCGACTCGCGTTGCCCCATCACCCCACCTCCTTGCCTGGCTGGTTTTCTCCCCTCGACTTCCCTCCATCCAGAATGTTTACTTCTTTGGTTTTGGTCTTTCTCTCCCTCTAGAACGTAATCCCCATGCAGTCAGGGACTCAGCATTTTGCCCCAGCTGAGTCCCCAGGGCCTGGCGGCGTGCCTGCACACAGCGACGCTGACTGGTCCTTGCTGGATGGGTAGTGAAGGAACGAGGGAGGTGGGTTAGCAGTGCCCACACGAGGTTGAGCATCAGAACCCCCCGGGAGAGCATGCAGCCTCAAGACGAGGCTGGTCTTTTGCCCCACCCCAGACCTACAGGATCCGCATCTTGGGAAAGGGGGCTCTGGGAGGAGGGGCGAGGCTTGGGGGGACTTGTGAATTGGACGCTGATGCGGGTGGTCCCGGGGGCCAGTCTTGATGGTTCAGACAAAACACCTCCATCTA